CAGTGGGAGCTTAAATAAATTTATTTGAATTTAAATAAGTGATTATGTAATCTATTTATCCTATTCCGCTAGATGTTTTGAAATCACAGTTTGGAAAATCCTGATGGAGATTTAACAACAACAAAAATTCTTTTATCTACCCTTGTTAATAATAATAATTAAATAAAAATTATATGTAATAAGAATAAATACTTATAAGAATTATATTAAATCATATTTTTCTTATAGACCCATGTTACTTTTTGGTAATTAAATATTTATAAGTGATTTTAATAATTAAAATCCAAACATAATCAGAATTTTTAAAATTATTTATAAGAAAAAATATTCAAATAGTAATCACGATTAATTAACTAACGTGAGTTTTAATCAATATCACTTACACAAACCATAATTATCTGAAATCATACTTATTTACTGTTTATCCAAATGGGCACTAACAATTTAATATTCTCGGACAATATAATTCAGGTAGGCCAACATTATTAAAAATATATAGCAAATTAGATCATCACAATTTTTTGTTGTTGTTGCTTGATACCATCATAAATTGGCGTGTTATAAAATGAAGCGAATACAAAAATAATAATATGCAACAACCACAGTAATGACAATAATTTATCCTTCTTATTCTACTTATAAGTTACTTTTAATACGTTATAGTGAAACTAGGAAAAATATTAAATTTTATCAACTCTCTCTTAAAATTTCACTACTTTTCAATCTTATTCCTATTTAATATATATACTTTTAAAAAAACAACAATATACACAATAATAAATAAATAATAAAATGACCAACAAGCTGTTGGTTGAGGTGATTAAAGGAGAGTATAAGTTTGAATCCTAAAAAGCGTACTTGTTGAGAGAACTTTAACTTTAAACACTTTCGGCCTAATAAAAATTAGTTTCAAATCTAAAATGGCTTGGAGACACCCTTAATCACCCCCCAAAAAAATAAAGAACAAAATAATAAATTTATTTTTATTTTTATGATGTAACTTATAAATAAGATAGAAAAATATTCTCTCTTCAACTTATATATGTATGCAAGACTACAAGAGTACCTAGCGTGAAAATTAACTTCATTGATGCTAACGCATGCTTAGAATAGCGTTAGGATTTAGGAAGCCTCATAAATTAGTTGGGGAAAAAAATGCTAGTTAGATGAAACATAATATTTGAGGTGGTCTTGGGAGCAATTGATTTATTTTTCCAAAAGTTGCATTAAAGGTTTTTCAGATTTGAACTTTGAACCAAGGAACAAAAAACTAGGTCAGACAGTAAACCAGTTAAGATAATAGTTCAAAAGTCAGTTGGTCAGATCGGAGTCAACTCAGGGTCAAACAAGTCATATTAAAATAATATAATTTAATTAAAAATAACAAAATATAACAGCATTAATAATCATTAATAACAAAATGCAAGAAAATATAACAATTTAATTATAACAACAATAAAATACAACATCATTAAGAATTTTGATCTTTATGATTAATCAATAACTAAAATTAATAATTATTGATATCAAAATCATCATTAAAATTCATTCAAATTTATAGTGATTAAGATATTAGGAGCTGAATGGAAAAAAAAAAGATTAATGGTAACATGATCATTTAAACTGATTCACACTAGTTCTTATTGGTTTGACTAGTTCGACGCTGGTTCAACTTTTGACCAGTTTAATACCCATACCAAACTAGACTACTAGCCAGTTCACCAGTTTTCAGTTGAACCGGCCAGTTCATTCTGATTTTTTTGTCTTTGCTTTGAACCTTCTCGTGTTGAATTTTCAATATATATCATTTAAACAATTATTTTTGTCAAACTTAGGATCTGTTTGATTAAAAGAATCCATTGGAATGGAAAAGAATTGAAAGGACGATAATAAAAATTTTCAATCGAGCGGCTGTTCGGTGTGCATTAGAATGGGAAAAGTGTTTATGGAAAATTTTGTTCGTTTGGATGAAAATAAGTTGAAAAATTAACCAATTTGACCATGTTACCCTTAATAAAATAATTTTTTTTTTTTGGTTGAACTCAAAGTATCCATTACTAATAGTAGTGACTAATCCCCTTGTATAGCAAACTTCCCAAAGGAACTACTTCTTCATGCAAAAAAAAAAAAGGTTTCAAAATAAAATTACATCAAGCACAACTTCGGTCTTCAATTTAAAAATCAATTCAAATATCAAACCCATATATAATTCCATACTTCGTTTCCTTTTAAAACCCATCATATAACTCCAACATTGTTGCACTACAAACTCAGCAAGAAGAGAACAAGACCATTGCGAATCAAGAAGAGAAGAAGAGAGGAGTCATATGCTAATCAACCTGTGGAAAAAGCTAGCTGGTTGCGACCCGACGTTTGCAGAAGAGTCTTCATCCTCCTCGAACTTCTGCATACACCACTTTATCTTCAGATTTGTTGAGCCCCAATCGCGTTTTTCTAATCAACTTTTCAAGGCAAATGAGAAATGGGCGTTTTGTGCAAGTGACTAAAAATTCATATCTTTAAAAGAAAACGAGACTCCTGCTAGAAATTTCTTTCCCGCCACTTTTTCAACTCCAGGTGCTCACGGCTACTTGAAAATATGCATTGTCCATTTTTTTTAGCTGGATTTTCTTCAAACCAAACGGGTCCTTCGTTTTTTTAAATGAAAACCTGTGCTCATGTATTTTTACTCCTATTTTAATTTATAAAAACCAGTTGGATAAAAATCACTTTTTTCAACGATAGTGATGCTTCTTGTTGCTGTGATATTTTATTCTGATTGGTTGGCCACTAAACAATGCACGCGATTTAATTGTTCTCTCTTGTACGTAGACTTGCGTGCCCAACGGAGTTTCTTATTTTAAATGATACTCCCTCCATTCCTTATTATAAGAGACAAATAACCAAATTACGTTGATCAAAAAACAGTTAAAATTAGTTGAGAACAATTAATGTGTAAAAAGTATAATGTTTTTTCCAACAACGCCCCTATTAATAAGGAGAGAGAGTATGAGAGAACAATTAAATTATTAAAAGAAAGAGAAGTGGGAGGGAGAGAGAATATGGGCTGGAGACAAAATAAATAGGGGTAAAATAGGAAATTAATACAAAAAACTAGAGACAACTTTTAAGTGTCTCTTATATATGGGAACATGCTATAAGTATAAAATGTCTCTTATAATAAGGAACGGAGGGAGTAAGATGATGACTTAAGAAATAATACTAAAAATTTATATATAAAATAAATATTATTTATGACTTGTTCCTATTTATAAAAGACATTTAACGGATGTCTCAAATTTTCTCTATTAATTTCTCCTTTTTTTCCTATTTAATTACTCGTTTTAATATTAATATATTTATTATCACACAATCCCAAAACATCAAGGTGATATGGTTAAGCCATTTATTTAGTCTAAAAACAAAATAAAATCTCCAATTTACACATATTTAATAGCATGAATTACATTAAAAAATCTTGGAAGCTGCACCTTTGTGTGATCCTATAAAAAGAAAATCGCTTGGACAGAGTGAAACTGAAAAAAAAGACCAAGTTAAACTCCTCTCCTAATTTTATTTGTGAGACACTTTTAACATTTTTTAATAGAAACTAAAAAGGTTTTAAATTTTATTAATAGTTAATATAATTTTTGGTACTTGAAATTTGGGCTCATTTTGGTTTTAATCCCTCAAATTTTAAACTCATTATTTCAGTCCCTAAAATTTAATTAGTCTTAAAACGTTAGTCCTTAGAATGTTATAATACTAAAATCTACAGAAGCATCATAAATAGTGTTAAAGTGATGATGTCAAATTACCATTATATGGCATCTAGCTAGATCTTGTCTGGATTTTTTTAAAAAAAACAAAGAAATGGTCCTCAAAATGCAATACAAAGAACAATTGTACAAAGGGAGATGAGTTCTCAAAACACATTGTAGTGAACAACTTCTCAAACAAACAGAGAGAAAAAGGGGCTAAGTAGCTATGTTTTGAGAACCTGCTCTTTTTTTTTTGTCCTCTATTATTCATATAAGATTTAGCGCCTGTTTGGATTAGCGGTGAGCAACTGTGATTTTAGATAATCTTGAATTTTATAAGTGACACTGGCTATAAGTGACACTAGTTAATCGTGATTTCTGTTTGGGCATTTTTTTAAAAATAAGTGATTGTAAGAATTGTGATTATGTTTCGTATTCATTTATTAAAATCACTTATAGATGTATTATTACTAAAAAGGGCATGAAGTTAATATTTGAGGAGAGATTTTTGGAAGAGTGTGGGAGGGTAGATTGGAAAAAATTTAGTTGCTGAAAATTAGTCGAGATTTTTCAAACGCATAAGCTACCTTTTATTGCTTATTCTAAAAGTTCGGTAGAAGGACAATTTATCGGAATTTTATAAAAGTTACCCAAACAAGACAAACATGATTCATAATCACTTATTTGAATTTAAACGGACTTATTTGAGATCTTACCTCTTAACCAAATAGGCTCTTAGATGTGTCATTAGTGAGTCTCTATCACCATTTTAACTCTATTTATGAGATTTCAGTAAATTTTAACACTATTACATCTCAATGGACTAACATTTTAAGACCACGAAATTTTAGGGATCAAATCGAAATGTTTAAAATTGGAGGGACTAAAACCAAAATATGTTCAAATTTCAAGGATAAAAAATTATATTAACTTTTTTTCATTAACTTTGTCTTAAAAATTAATAAATTTTTAACTTTATTTTTATTTAATATATATATTGCCAATATATATATATGAATGAAAATAACATTCTACCAACAACTGTTGATATAATACATTTAACAGGATAACTTATATTATGGAAAACTAGACTGTCCCACCAGAGTAGTAATCGAAATGACTTGTGGCACATCATTAATTATTTAAGAGGATCAATGCTTGGGGAGCCTAATTAAGCGTCAACAAGCAATATTTGTGATTCTCCGTTGGATTTGAATTCCTTGGAGCTTAGAATCCCATATGGAGTATTTCGAGAGCAGCCCATCATCGTTGAAGCCGAGTCATGTATATATCAGCTTTCGAGGCGATGAAGGCAATCGTAAATTCATCCATAGCCTTTCGGCTGCTCTCAAAGCAGAAGGCTTCAGAATCTTCGGAGACGATAAGAAGCATGAAAAGCCAGACTCCAATCTTCCACCTCACCTTCTTCAAGCAATTGATGAGTCCTGGATTTGGATTGTTGTCTTCTCCAAAAACTATGCTTCTTCATCTTGGTGTTTGAACGAACTAGCTGAGTTTGCGCGGTTTACCTTAGTACAATATCGCTATGTAGATCCAGTGATTGTTGAACGTGAACAAAGGTTCGAAGCAGAAATAGACCGGGTGAACGAACGAAGCAGAGCTCTGAAAAAAGGGTTCGGTCCCCAGAATGTACTGGATAGGATTATAGCAGTGTTCTATGATGTAGATCCAAAATCCTTCGCTCAACATATTGAACAAGCATACGAGCAATTCGAGGCACCCTACTTGATGGAGGCTATCGAAAATGTGATGTCCACTCCCTGTGGCTGGGACTTACGGAATGAGTATGTAATCTTACTCTTCATCTTTTTCTTTTTTCAGCCATATGCATGGGTCCCAAAAAGCTATAGGTTTTGGTTAATTAGTACTCTGTCTAGTATTTAATATAAGGCCTATTTTGTAATATATTTGCACTATAAAGTAGGTCTTTTATTGAGGACAAGAAGAGTACAATAATAGTGCCTAAGGGCCTCTGGAGGATTCCGAGACGTAATTGAATTCCAATCGTTCCAATCGAGCTTCCAAGAAGGGAGTTACGTACATAACTCTACCCATACCACGTTGTGTCGGGGAAATGAGAAGTAGGTTATTTATATGATAACTCTCAGCTTTCTCCTCTTCTTTTGAATCTTGATATGTTCTCTTGAATCCTGAATCTCGATCAGAATTTAGGTATGAAACCCGTCAGCCTAAAAAAATTTGTACTTCTTTCAAAATCTTTAATGCTCTGCTTGGATGGGAAGAAAAATTAAGAGGAAAGAAAATAGGAGGAGAGAAAATAGAAAGAAGGAAAAACTAGAGGAAAATATTATCATCCCTCTTGCTTGGATAGATGAGAGAAAATAGAGAGAAAAGAAAATTAATAAATATCCAAATGACTAAAATGTCTTTATTAAATATATCATATTTAAAATTAAATTAAATTAAATTAAATATTGTGGTAGAAAGATTATATTAACATTGGCATCATCAAATGATTAAAATCAAGTTATTTGGTTGATATATATTTTCAGATTATTATATTTTAAAGCCAAATTATTTAATAAAAATATTGTTTTAAGATTAAAAAAAATAAAAAATGAATAAATTTTTAAATATAATAAAAGAAAATAAATATGGAAAGTAAGAGATGGTAAGGGTAGTTATGAAAATCTTGTTTTCCTTCCCAAATCTCTCCATATATGGAGAGAAAATTTGGAGAGAAAATGAGACATGGGGCCCATCTTATTTTCTCCCCACTTTTCCTTCCTTCCACATTTTCTCTCCTACCCAAATAAGAGAAAAATTGTTTTTCCTCATGTTCTCTTCTCTTCTTTTCTTTCCTTCCTAATTTTCCCTCAATCCAAGTAGGGGGTAATATAGAAGCTACTTAACTAATTTATTAGATATATTAAAGAAATTAGATAAATTAGTTAGTTATAAAAAATATGACTTGATCTTGCTAAAATACTCTTGTGCAATAGTATATATTATATATCAATTTATAGGTTAGGCAAATTATTTTGAAAAAAAAAGAAGATAAATATAGGAGACAAAGTAGATCTAGATCTTAAGGATGGGAGGGAATATTAATGTTGAGTCTAGACAGGAAGCTTGTGCAATTTTAGCAAAACTGACGCGTAAATGTATCTAGGCTGTAAAATAGCTGCATACCAAAATTGTTTTGATCATAATACACACACATACTTTTATCTCTTTACTTTTAATCATTAAGTCCGTTATCTTTTATTTTTATTTTTACACAACAAATGCTAATATATCTACAATCAGAATTTTATTTTTATTTTGTATCATACTTTTTTATGATTAAAAAAATTTGTTCGAGAATTTAGATGTAAATTCTACGTTGTCCTGATAAAAGCACATGATCTTTTACCCTCATGCCTAAAGAGGAAATAAATTTGATTGATTTGGTGTTTCATTTGTTACCTTTTCAGTTCAGGGTCACGAGTCATTCAAAAAATTGTTAAACAAGTCAAGTCAGAAATAGATAAACTATTTTATGGCATATTCGGATTTGTTGGGATACAATCGCAAGCGGAAGAAGTGGAAAAGCTTTTGGATTTGAGTTCAGATGATGTAGTTGGAGTAGTCGGCATTTGTGGCACGGGAGGACTGGGCAAGTTTTCTATTGCTATGGTGTTATATCTTAAGATATTTCATCATTTTGATGCCTTTTGTTTTCTTCCCTCTGTAAGTCGACGTCTAAAGCAAGGTGACATAACTCTACAAGAACTTCTTCAGAGACATTTGGGGACAGAAAATTCAGAGGTGAGGGATTGTCTAGACAAAGAGTTCTTAGCTTGCAAAAGATTAAGAAACCACAAGTTTCTTATAGTTCTTGACGGTGTCGAGCTTGTAAAAGATCTCCAAGAGCTGAACTTGGTTGAAAAATCCAATTGCTTTGGCGGGGGAAGTAGGATCATTATAACAACTAGAGATAAACAAGTCCTTCAAAAGTATGAGGTTGATACAGTTTATAGACTTAAGCCTTTGTCTGATGATGAGGCTTTCGAACTATTTTGTTCTGAAGCTTTTCCAATGGAATATCCTGTTAGTGATTTCCAAGAGATGATAAATAAGGCATTGGAATACGCTAAAGGCCTTCCGCTAGCAATTAAAATATTGGGTTCAACCCTTTTTGGGAAAGGCGTTGCAGAATGGAGAAGTGTCCTGGATAGAGAGGAAATCATTCCCCCTTATGATGTCATAATGATGCTTAGAGAAAGTTTTGATGAACTCGATGATATGAGTAAGGAAATGTTTTTGGACATAGCATGTTTCTTTGTAGGGAGGGACGTTAATTATGTGAAGGAAATTTTACATGATTGCATCAGCTGCTCTGTGGATATAGAACTTCTTATTCAAAAATCACTTATCACAATTGTAAATCAGAAGATACAAATGCACGGTATGTTGCAAGCAATGGGACGAGAAATTGTTCGAAAACAATGTCCAAATCAGCCAGCTAAACGACGTCGGTTATATCTTTATGGTGACATCGAATATGTTATGGAGGATGGAATATACGAGGTAAGTTTTGATATCCCTTTTTAGCACAACATTACAGTATGAAAAGTTAAAGTAATAATCTAACATTTCATCATTTCTATATACATGCATTTATAATTCTAGGTGATGGAAAATGTGGAAGCTATAGCCTTGGATTTGGAAGAGCCGAAAGGGGTTGCATTGAGGAGCGATGCTTTAGCAAATATGATCAATCTTAGACTGCTCATATTTCGTAATGTGGAATTTTATGGGAACCTCGACAATCTTTCGAGCAATCTGCGATATGTTTCCTGGCATCAATATCCTTTCACTTGTTTGCCATCAAGTTTTCAGTCAGATACACTGGTTCAATTGATTATGCCTGATAGCAACATGACACAAGGATGGGAGGGCAAAATGGTATATGCCAATGTTTTTATTATTTTTGGCATAACAAATATTTAAAATATTAGGAATTATTCAACCAAATCCCTAAACTAATAACATAGATACCTTTTTACTTCTTGTTAAATATCCCAAGTGTCGTGTTTTATCACTCAAGCGCTATAACTATTTAATATTTACATATCTATATATTTTCCTATTCACAGATGCTCCCTATGTTGAGGAAAATGAATCTATGTGGCTCCAAAAACTTGATAAAGACGCCAGATTTTGGGGGGGTTCCGAATCTTGAGAGGCTGGAGCTTGAGGGATGCACTGGATTGTTGCAACTCCATCCATCTATTGCTGAACTTTCAAAGCTCAAATCCTTGAATTTGAGAGGTTGCACCAATCTTGTCAGTATCCCTAATTCCTTGTTTTCTCTGAATTCGTTGCAAGTCCTAAATCTTGCTGGCTGCTCTGAACTTGCATACTGCTTGAAGTTTTCTCCTTTGAAGAGCTCGGTAGAAGTGGAGCTGCTTGGCATTTGGTATAGTCCATACTTAGAAAAATTACTGTACTTTCTTCTGTTTGTTTTACCAGAACCCAAAAGGTTATCAGGATTTTGTTTGTTGCTGTATTATTTACTTTATGCGTGTTTGTGAGGTCAGTAAACATGAATCCTGAGGTTGAAGGTGTTTGTACAAATGTATTTGGTAAATTTGGGAATAATATAATATACTTGTCTTTTTATCAATTATGTTTGATTTTCCTATATCACCCTGGCCTCAAAAGGGTAAGATATATTGTGTGGAGTATATATTCTTAGATAAGCAAAGTCAGATCAAAACATGAATGTAGTACAAATTTTGCAACATTATTGATGCAACATAACTGCACATTTTGTTCATCAACCACTCACTTGAATGGTAAATCCTAACCAGAGAGATTATCCAGCACTTACTTTATTCCTGTGAGTTGGAAAAACCAATAAATTAAATAAGAACCTTAAAATAGGTAGAAGAAAGGGTAATTAAGGTGCAGATTTTTGGGAGCTTCCCTTGAAAAGAGTTATGAACAAAGGGTTGTAATCTCTACGAAGTGTGCGCAAATTTGATAAGGAAACAATTTCGGAGTAGTTTCACTTGTCTTGAAACGGCGAAGGAACTCAGGCGAGAGATAAAATTTTTGCCACAAGCCAAATTTAAACTTTTCAAAGAACTTAAACAAAATAAGTAAGTAAAGAATACCCCCATGCAATTTCTCGAAGTTTATAAGATTTATTATCTCATTAAGTTTGTGGTACTTGAGTAGTTGAGTATGATCTTTCTCACAACCACAAAAAGAGGCAATAGTCAAACAATAACCATTATGGCTAGCAATAATCATTATAAGAAAAAGAAAAAGATAAAGCATTTGTGTAATTTTAGTTTGCTAGTATTTATGTTTAAAAAAATAAAAAAATAATTGTTGAATTTTAAAATGACACATAGACAATTATAATAATAGTCAAAACTATTATAAAAATAGTTAACATGACTTGTTTACCTTTTTGAAATTTAATAGATATTTTTTATCATTTTCCTTTTACGTTTTGAATCACAAATTTTACGAAATTTTATCTATAACGAAATTTATAATATCAATATCAATATGTATAAAAAATTCATAATTTAATCCAGTAGTTTAATTTGTTCAAAATTAATCTCTTCACGCCTCTTCTTGTCAGATTCAAACTCATAGCAAGTGGGAAGACTCTCAACCCCTAAACCAACATACCACCCTCAATTTCAATCTGCAACTATAGTTAAAAATATAAGTTAATCCTTTATAATACAAGTTTTTAATTATTGATGTAAATTAAAAAATTAGTTACGTACGTAAATCACTTTATTTTGTTTTATCACTATATCCTTAATATTATATGTGGGGCAAATGACAAGGCATGATAGAGACCAACCAACCAACGTCGGTCAAATGCATTATATAATAAACCAGTCTCGTCTTGTTTTATCACTCTATCCTCACTCAATATTATATTTGTGGCAAATGACCAGGCACGATGATAGAGAACAACCAACGTCAATCAAATACATTATATAAGGAAAAAAACTGCAAGAGCTGAATTTGACTTGTATTAAAGAACAACTCGTATTCTCAATAGACGCGGGAAAATGATTGAGATAGAATCATGGTATTGAAGGCTGGAATGAAGTGGCTGATTTAGTCCGGTTTTCCAGACTGAACCGGTTTCATAATTGGTTTGATTTAGCATCGAAATCAGGGTTGAGTTGACTCAATGTGACCTGGATCAATTCGGGGTAACTTGGTAGGGTAATCCGGCCAATTGGTTTGGGGGATTAACACAATTGCCTTTCATTTTTTTTTAAAAAAAAAACTAGTTTGATGATTATAACTTAATGATTGAATAAGCCTAGGAAAAAAACTTTTGTAATCATATACCTATTTTGATATTTTGTTAGGATAAATATTTAGTGATTTTAGTAATATGATATTATGATTTTAATTTGTCAAAGGAATTACGAAAAAGTTGAAAAAAATTGTAGGTATATGATCATTTTATTAGTGATTTAAAATATTAAATTGATATTTACTTCTTAATAAAAATTTAAATTATTTTTTATTGTTTTTATATCTTAAAGGTTTGATCCCTGAGTTGACTCCAGTCGAGCCCACTAACCTTCGATCCATACTGTCTTGACTTGTTTAATAACTGGTTTGGTTTTTAGTACCTTAAATAGAATGTTAATCAAACATTTTAATTGGGTCGTTATTTTTTTTTTTTTGAGCTTGATGTAAATCGGGTTGTTATGAAATAAATCAATCGCACAAATACTTATAATTTCATGCAAAAGGATCAACTCATATTTTTATTTCACTAGATAAAAAATAAATTTCATTCTTTAATGTCCCCATAACATACAAATACCCTGCAACAATTTCTATTACATTAAATTTCTCACTATTCGTAGTCTTTTAAGTTGATTGAACTCTTTTTCAGTTTTTAAACCCTAATCAGTATTTGAGAATAATTTGTTAATATCTAAAATTTCGGTGTCAGCATTTTTTTTTTTTTGGTTAATGAAGCTTATATTGGAGTTGGAGGACTTCGCTTTATAAATTTATAAAATTAAGAGACGACAGTAAAGTATTGTGTGGAATTGAAACAGTACATGCACTCTTTTTTTAATATCCAATCAACGATGGCTTTACTTTCCACTGTCGTTAGCCACGGCGGCGAGAAAGCAAAGGTCTCTGCTGTGTTTAGGAAGTGAGATTGTGATATTGTTGAAATGAATTACCTTAGCCTACCAAGCAGCTCGTCTTCTCGGAGGACCTGGAAATACGAAGTGTTTCTGAGTTTCAGAGGTGAGGATACTCGCAACAGTTTCACCGATCATCTTCATGCTGCTCTTCAACGAAAAGGTATATACACTTTCAAGGATGATAAAAGGCTGCAGAGAGGAGAAAGTATTCGGCCAGAGCTACTGAAAGCGATTGAACAATCCCGGATTTCACTCGTCGTCTTATCCAAAAGTTTCGCAGATTCCACATGGTGCTTGGACGAACTGGCCAAGATTTGCGAGGCAATTGGTCAACCGGGATACACTGTGCTACCAATTTTCTACCATGTTGATCCATCTGACGTACGAAAGCAGAGGGGCGATTTCAAACAAGCGTTTGATAAACATGAGCGAGGCTCAAGTGATAAGGTCCCAGGATGGAAGTCAGCTTTGGAACAAGTAGGCCAGCTCGCCGGTTATGATGTAAGGAATAAGTAAGTAATCTCGTCTCGTTCTCGTTTGATTATGAATCTGTATTGGCATGCTCATTTTTCCCTCTCTCTTCAGATCAGAGTCGGGTATTATTGATGAAATCGTTATGGATGTGATCCATAAACTGAAGCATAAATTCTCAAGTCTGGCTGATGATCTAGTGGGGATGCAATCTCGTGCAGAAGCTTTTGAAAAGCTTCTAAATCTAGATTCATCCGATGATATTCTATTTGTGGGGATTTGGGGAATGCCCGGAGCAGGGAAGACCACTCTTGCTGCAGTTGTATATGATAGAATCTCCCACAACTTCGATGCTTCCTGTCTTCTTCTTGATGTCAGTAAAGATCGCAAGCGTTCTGGTCTTGTCCGCTTACAACAACAACTTCTTTGTGAAACAGTGGGGAAAGATCAAGAGGTTTGGGAGGAACACACAGGAACCAATTTAATAAGCACTAGGCTTCGCGAAACTAAAACTCTTATTGTTGTTGATGGTGTTGACCATTTCGATCAGTTGAAGAAATTGGTTGGGAAGCACGAGTGGTTTGGTCCTGGGAGTAGAATCATCATAACAACTAGAGATGATAAAATCCTTGAGAGGCGTGGAGTGGGTAAAGATAAAGTTTACAAGGTTGAACTTCTGAATGATGAAGAAGCTCTTCAACTTTTTTGTGTTAGAGCCTTCAAAAGTGATGTTCCTGATGATGGATTTGAAGAGTTGACCCATAGTTTTCTACAATATGCTAAAGCCCTTCCACTGGCAATCCAAGTGTTAGGTTCCTCTTTGCGTACCCGGAAACAATCAGAGTGGAAAGCACTATTAGATAGATTGAAAGAAATTCCCGACAGAGAGATTATGAAAGTGCTGGAAACGAGTGTACATTCACTAGACCAAAGGGACGAGGATATATTTGTAGATGTTGCTTGTTTCTTCAAGGGTGAAGATGAGAAATATGCCAAAAAAATTCTAGATCATTGTGGATTTAATCCCGAGCTTGGAATCAACATTCTGTGTGAAAGATCACTCTTAGTCATCGTCAATGGAACACTCCGGATGCATGATTTGCTGCAAGAAGTGGGCTGGAAAATTGCGAAAGGAGATTTCCCTCAAGAGCCAGCAAAGTGGAGCAGACTCTGGTTGTACAGAGATCTTCAAGCTGTTAGGACAGTGAGTAATGTTTTGATCATTCATCACTGACTTTTTTTTCGCTTTCTTTTTATTTATTTCATTATCCTAGCAGTCCTATATTATTCGAAGAACCCAACATATTCCTTTTACTTTGTGTTTGTGTTCATTATTGGTCGTAGGGAACAGATGAAGTTAAAGCCATCGTCTTGAAGGAGAAGATGTAGATGTGAATGAGATGCTGCCATTGAGGGCTGAAGTTTTATCCCAAATGAATTGCCTAAGGCTAATCATATTCCCTTCTATGAAATTTTCAGGAAAGCTGAATAATCTTTCCAATGACTTGAGGTTTCTTTCCTGGCAGAAATTTCCTTTCAGTACTTTACCACCAAGTTTTGAACCAGCTAAACTTGTTGAATTGGTCCTGATTGATAGCAATATAAGACTTCTATGGGAAGGTGTAAAGGTGTAATCCTGTTCTACTAGAAGAATTGAGTGCCACCAAATGGGGTATTAATTACATTATTTTAAGATTGTCTTTTTGGCTCCTTCGTAGGCTTTGCCAGAGTTGAAGACCGTTGACCTGCGCGGCTCTAAAAATCTAATAAAGACGCCAAACCTTAAAGGAGTGAAAAATCTTGAGAAGCTAAATCTTGAAGGATGTAGTGGATTATTGGAGGTTGATGCATCTATTGGAGATCTCACAAAGCTAACATTCCTGAATTTGAAAAGCTGTGATCGTCTAATCAGTATCCCAAACACCATATTTCTTTCAACTTCTCTGGAAACTCTGAACCTTCCTGGTTGTTTAAAACTCGCACAACGTTTGAACTTCCAAGGGCCTCGAGGACCCAATGAGCAATCTTAGTGAGCTTCTGTAGAAATAATGCGTTGCAAGCTTACCTCAGCGATTCTAGAAGAGGCTCTATAACTTGCTGGTATTTTCACTGTATATATATAGATTCATCTATTCCATGTTGAACCGCACTCATGTAATAAATACGCAATATTGATGGCTATCCGTAAGTTGATAGAATCATTTATTCTAGTGGTTTGTAAGTAGCATCCTTTTTTTACTATGCTAATTAAAAAGGATTATATATGATCTTTAATAAATTTCATATGAACAAAGCGAAGTGACTTTTTACGAAGGTCCTATCAATAACGCTGAACAAAAAAATTCAACATTTTCGAGGCTCTTTTCGATACATATCATGAAAATATGCAGTTGGCGAGGCCTTTCATGCGATTTTAATTTCTTAATCCCAGGTTTTATCCAGTGGTCCCTTAGAAGAAAATGGCGTTAATATATTGCTTAAATCCTTTTCTACTCACTCCTTTTTCAAAATAGACGTTTTATTAATATCCTTACACTTCTTTACCCTGGAATTTTCAATCTGACCCACTTGTTCAACTGATTATGCCTGAAAGCAACATGACAGAAGTATGGAGGGGCATAATGGTATGTTAATGTTCTCTTAGTTCTTAAATATTTAAGTTACTAGAAATTATTCAATCGGCAGACTCCTAAACAAATATAGATACCTTTTATCTGTTGTTAAATGTCCCCCGAAGTGTCTTGTTTTAATACAAAAGTACTATATATTCTCCATTCACAGATGCTCCCTAATTTGAGAAAAATGAATCTGTGGCTCTAAAACCTTGACAAAGACGCCGGATTTTGGTGGGGTTCCGAATCTTGAGATGCTAGAGCTTGAACGATGCACTGGATTGTTGCAATTCCATCCATCTATTGCTGAACTTTTAAAGCTCAACTTCTTGAATTTGAGAGGCTGCACCAACCTTGTCAGTATCCTTAATTCCTTGTTTTCTCTGAACTCGTTGCAAGTCCTCAATCCGGCTGGCTGCTCTAAACTTGCGTACTGCTTGAAGTTTTCTCCTTTGAAGAGCTTGGTAGAAGTGAAGCTGCTTGGGTTTTGGTGTAGTCCACACTTAGAAAGATTGCTGTACTTTCTTTTGTTTGTTTTACCAGGACACAAAGTTATCAGGCCGGATTTTGTTTGCTATTGTCTTATTTACTTTATGTGTATTTGTGAGGTCAAATAAGCATAAAGCTCAAGTCATGAATCCTGAGGTTGAAGTTGTTTGTACAAGTGTGTTTGGTAAATTTGGGAATAATATAATATACTTGTCTTTTTTTCAATTATGTTTGATTTTCCTATAACACCCTGGCCTCAAAAGGGTAAGATATATTATGTGAAATATGTATTCTTAGATAAGCAAAGTCAGATCAAAACATGAATGTAGTACAAATTTTGCAACATTATTGATGCAACATAACTGCACATTTTGTTCACCAACCACCCATTCGGATGGTAAATCCTAACCAGATAGGTTATCCAATGCTTGTTTTATTCCTGTGAGTTGGAAAAACCAATAAATAAGAACCTTAAAATAGGTAGAAGACAGGGTAATTAAGGTGCAAATTTTTGGGAGCTTGCCTTGAAAAGAGTTCTGAACAAGGGGTTGTGATTTCTATGAAGTGTGCGCCAATTTGATAAGGAAACAATTTCGGAGTATTTCACTTGTCTTGAAGTTGAAACGGTGAAGGAACTCAGGCGAGAGATAAAATTTTTGCCACAAGCCAAATTTAAATTTTTCAAAGAACTTAGACAAAATAAGTAAAGAATACCCACAAGCAATTTGTCGAAGTTTATAAGATTTATTATCTGATTAAATTTCTGGCACTTGAGTAGTTGAGCATGCTCTTTCTCGCAACTACAAAAAGGGGGCAATAGTCAAACAATAACCATTATGGCTAGAAATAATCATTATAAGAAAAAGAAAAGATAAGGCATTTGTGTAATTTTAGTTTACTAGTATTTATGTTTGGAAAAATGAAAAAAAAATAATTGTGGAATTTCAAAATGACATATAGACCTGATTATAATAATAGTCGAAACCATTATAAAAATAGTTAGCATGACTTATTTATGTTTTTAAAATTCAATAAGTATTTTTTTTTATTTTTCCTTTACATTTTGACTCACGAATTTTACGAAATTTTATCTATAACGAAATTTATAATATCAATATCAATATGTATAAAAAAAATTCATAATTTAATCCAGTAGTTTAATTTGCTCAAAATTAATCTCTTCACGCCTCTTCTTGTCAGGCTCAAACACGTGCAAGTGGGAAGACTCTCAACCCCTAACCCAACATGGCACCCTCAATTTCAATCCGCAACCATAGTTAAAAATATAAGTTAATCCTTTATAATACAAGCTTTTAATTATTGATGTAAATTAAAAAATTATTTACGTACGTAAATCACTTTATTTTTTTATCACTATATCCTCATTCAATATTATATGTGGGGCAAATGACAAGCCATGATAGAGACCAAACAACAAACGTCAGTCAAATGCATTATATAATAAATCAGTCTCGTCTTGTTTTATCATCATCACTCAATATTATATCTGTGGCAAATGACAAGGCATGATGATAGAGACCAACCAACGTCAGTCAAATGCATTATATAAGAAAAATACTGTCAAAGCTGAATTTGACTTGTATTGAAAAAGAACTCAAATTCTCAATGGACGCGGGAAATTGATTTAAATAGAATCATGGTATTGAAGGCTGGAATGAACTGGCCAATTCAGTATAGTTTTCCGGACCGAACCGGCTTCATAATTGGTTTGATTGAGCATCAAAATCGGAGTGGAGTTAACTCGATGTGACCTGATCAACTTAGGGTAACTTGGTAATAACCAAGTAACCCGGCCGATCGGTTTGGTAGGTTAATCCAATTGCCTTTCGTTTTTTTTTTTGCCCCAAAAAAAACTCGTTTGATGATTTTTTTTAAAAGGTGTTGATAATAAGAACTTAGTGATTGAATGGCTGCAGTTAAAAACATTTTGTTATCATATATCTATTTTGATATTTTGTTTAGATAAATATTTAGTGATTTTAGTAATATGATATTATGATTTTAATTTGTCAGAGGAATTGTGAAAAAGTTGAAAAAAGTTATAGGTATATAATTATTTTATTAGTGATTCAAGATATTAAATTGATATTTAGTTCTGAATAAAAATTTAAATTTTTTTTTATTGTTTTTATTTCTTAGAGGTTTGATCCTTAAGTTGACTTCATTCTAACCCACTAACCGTTAATCCACACTGTCTTGACTCATTTAATGACCGGTTCAATTTTCAATACCTTGAATAAAATATTAATCAAACATTATAATTGGGTTGTTATTTTTTTTTTGACCTTGGTGTAAATCGGGTTGTTATGAAATAAATCAATTGCACAAATAATTATAATTTCATGCAAAAGGATCAACTCATATTTTTATTTCACTAGATAAAAAATAAATTTCATTCTGTAATGTCCCCATAATGTAACATCCCGACTTTTAGGTCCAAAAGTTTCAGAAGTAGCCTGAATTGGATAGGCTATTAGACCCTTTTTAGTAGAGATTCCAAAGATGAAAAAGGAAGTCAAAGGAATTTCAGGGACTAAACTGCAAAATGAAAGTTTTCAGGAGCTAAAGTGCAATCAAAGTTAGAGGCTCTAGTAAGGTCTCAAAAGCCCAGAAAGAGAAAAAAAGCTAGATACAGGCCAAAAATTAAGCTAGAAGCCTCAAGGAGATAGTTTTGTGAGGTTGAGCCCAAGTAAGGGGTAAAACCGTAAATTCAGAAAGGTACAGACCAATAGGGGTAAAAATGAAAAGTATACAAAAAATTTCAAAAAAATCTCAGAAAATAGGAAATAATATCTTAAGACTCTTTTGTGAAGAGAAATGATGAAATTACCGTTGAGGTAGTTTAAATAGAATTTATAAGATTATGGCCAGCAATAAGTATACTGGTTGAGATAATTATTTAAAATAGCAAGAGATCTCAAAAATGTACGCAAAAATAAGGTTAAATTGTTAAAAAGTTGTACTAATTTATAAAATTATTCCCGTTCCTAGAAGGCTAGTGGAATGGTTTTAATAAAATAGAAAGATAGAAAGTTGATTATGCTGATAAAAGGGTATTTTAAAAAATGATTTTTAAGTGAGGCCTACAGGATGAATCATGGCTTGAGAAAATTCACAAATTTTCTTGAATCATAAAAAGAATTTTTAGAATAGACAGAATAATTTTTAGAGCTCCAAAAAGCCAGAAAGGAACCCCAAAAAATGAGAACCAAGTAAATAAAAAAAATATCTAAGGAAAAGGCAAAAATAATGATGACTTGTTAATGCATCATGTAGGGTAATCATGACACATATGAAGGTATTAAAGAGGAGGAAATAAGTAGTAGAATACGACAAAAGTGATATGACAAATATTCAATCTTCCAAGGGATTGGAGTGAGAAAAGAGACTGGTACAGTACACTTTTTTTTTTCTTTTATATAGCTTGAAATGTGCCACTTGTCAAGCTATGAATGGAAGGGATAAAGATGCCACTTGTCAAGCTACCTATGAAAAGGATTTTGACTTTTAAAATCAATTTTATTTGGATTTAATTTAAGGGTGGAAAATAGTTCAAGAAGCTATAAGATTATGACACCTAAGTATTGTAATTCAAGTGAACTTGGATGACAAATGTTTAAGACTTGGCTTATAAATAGCCATCTCCCCCTCTTGCAAGACCTATGTTTTGGCCACCTTGGGAAAACTCTTGCCAATTTGATTCTTGAAGATCAATCAAGAGGAAACCATCTACTTTGATCATATAAGCTTGGATACAATGTTAGTTTTATGTTCTACCTTGTATTTTGATTTGTATTCTTGAGTTTGATGGTTGAAAAATGTGGAATCCCCTAAGCCGAGGTGCTGGCCAAAATGTATAAGAGATAGGGGAGGATGATTTTGACAAACATAATCTAAAGTCATTGGTTAGAGCTTGATTCAAGTGGTATTGTGTTGAAATTTGAAAGATTGCTTGATTGGGATGTTGTGTGTGCTGTTTGGCTAGTTTAGGTTTGGTACCCTAGGATGTGATTTTGATGATTCTGAGGCTTTCAATGGATTTGAAATGGAAAATTGTGT